AAGGACAATAGGTCCTTAACTTTGACTTACAAGGTCAAAAGTTAAGGACGGTTGGTCCTGAAGTTTGAGTTCCAAGTTCAAAAGTTAAGGAGATGTAGTCCTGAAGTCCTGAACTTAGAGTTACAAGTTCAAAAGTTAAGGACATGTAGTCCTGAAGTCCTGAACTTAGAGTTCCAAGTTCAAAAGTTAAGGACATGTAGTCCTGAAGTCCTGAAGTTAAGTACAAAAGTTAAGGACATGAGCAGAAGGGTATTTTCGTCCGGGCAGTTAAAGTTTATTAAAGCAGTGGCTAAAGACTAAAGACATTTTAAACGATGACTTAAAAGTAAATACATGTATTATTAGTGGCCAACCGTGCACTTCCCCGTATATGGTGTGGCCAACTATTTTAGTTGAGCAACATTTATGACTGTAGCCACCCACAAATTAAGATGCCGACCATCTAGTCCATTCAATTTGTCCTCTTAATATTGTCAAAGAATAATAGTGTAATTCTCTTTTTTTGGTCGTTACAAATTAAATTCCTTTCTGAATTATAATATCTCAATGAAAGTTCCAGCTAGGTGGGTAACATTGATTTTTTTTTTTTTTTTTTTTTTTTTTTGCATGAGGATTCATAGTACGAAACTATGGTCTCTAACTGCAACATCCACATCTCCAAATAGGCTTGGGCTAGTTAATTAGCCAAGTAGGAGTAATGACAATGCCTAGATCTTTCTAACACCATCAGATTTAATTAACTTATAACAACGTAAAGTAACCTGGAAAATAGAATAGCAACCTTCTTCTGAAAATTTAGGCAGAAAAGATGAAGAATTTTCTCTGTATATGTATATCATTCCAAACTTCCTATATATACAAATGAATGTGCTGAAAATTGAAAGAAACAAAAGAATATTCCCTATACACTTGTCATATTTCTATTGCCTAGTCTATAACAAAATAACTAACTTTATTCCTTTACAATATATTGTCATGTGCAAATCCCACTTGTGTGTAACTCTTCAGCCATCTCATATTGAGCATAGTATGCCATATCAATGGCTAGGATTTAATCAAGCTCAAGGGCTCAGATGCTGCCACGTATTCAATCACTTGAGAGACCAATTCACTTCTTTACCTAGAAAATTCCGAAAACTTCTCAACCTTGTCTGAAAATTAGGTCTGTATCTCTTCCTTCTCTTTCCCTTTCTTTCTCTCATCGATTGAGAGCTGAAGATTACTGCTTTCTTCCTTCTTCTCTACATCCCCCCTCAAGTTAGAGGGGAGAGAATGGACCCCTAACTTGTGTAGAATGACTTTGTGAGAAGCACCAGGTAGGGGTTTTGTAAACAAATCTGCGAGTTGTTGGTGAGATGGGACAAAAGAAAGGGTAATCAAGCCTGAGAGGTACTGTTGGCGGACAAAGTGACAATCAAGCTCAACGTGCTTTGTCCGCTCGTGATAAATAGGGTTACGAGCGATATGTATGGCGGCTTGACTGTCGGAGTGAATCGGAATGGGAAGTGAAGGTAGAGAAGACAGATCTGCGAGAAGTCGAACCAACCAGGTAATTTCTGCTGTCACTCTTCTCATAGACCTATACTCTGCTTCTGCAGAGGAAAGGGAAATTGACGCTTGCTTTTTCGATTTCCAGGAAATAGGTGCTCCACCAAGCATGATAAAGAAACCACTGACAGATCGACAGGAATCTTTGCAAGCCGCCCAATCGGAATCACAGAAGGCTATCAAATCAAAAGAGGGGTCTGAGGATAGGAAGATACCTTGTGATGGATCCGTTGAAAGATAGCGCAGGACGCGCAAAAAGACAGGGTCTTTGCATGAACTGACTGAGGCAAAGTACAGCAAAGGACAAATCAGGACGAGTATTTGTCAAATAATTGAGTTTCCCCACCAAGTGACGATAAAGAGTGGGATCTGAAAAGAGAGGCCCATCATCAGCACGAAGCTTAGGAAGTAGGGACTAGAAGGAGGTAGAAGACGACTCGCCTACCCCCGAAAGANGGATCTGAAAAGAGAGGCCCATCATCAGCACGAAGCTTGGAATAGGGATCAAGAGGTGAAGAGACTGCTCCCCCAGAAAAATCAAACTCCTTCAAAAGGTCCAAGGTAAATTGCCTTTGATTAATGATGAATCCTTGTTTTTCTCGAAGAATTTCCATCCCTAGGAAATAATGAATGGCATCTAAATTCTTAACCTTGAATTCAGTGTTGAGAAAAGCAGTAATCTGATTGTTTCCTTCAATATCACTCCCTGTAAGTAGAATGTCATCGACATAAACAGCTATGATAGAAACTAGATCACCAGATTGTTTGTAAAATAATGAATAATCATTGAGGGAACTTGAATAACCTTTGTAGCTCAATGCCCCTGCAAGCCTGGCATACCATTGCCTAGAGGCTTGCTTTAACCCATACAATGACTTTCTCAAACGACATGCCTTAGTAGGATCAGAAGGGGTTATACCAACAGGAAATTTCATGTAGACTTCTTCTTGCAAGTCTCCATGCAAAAAGGCATTGTTCACATCAAGTTGTGACACATCCCAGCCTTTCTTTACAGCTACTGTTAGTAGACATCTGATTGTTGTCATCTTCACAACTGGAGAAAAGGTCTCTGAGCAGTCAATACCCTCTCTTTGTATGTCCCCCTCACTACCAACCTAGCTTTCGGCCTTTCTATGGTGCCATCTGACTTATGTTTAACCTTGTAAACCCATTTACATGGTAAAGCCTTCTTGCCTGGTGGTAAAGTCACCATATCCCAAGTATGATTCAGCTCCAAGGCTGCAATTTCTGCCTCCATAGCCTTTCTCCAACCTGGTTCCTTACAAGCTTCATGATAGCTTGTTGGTTCTGAAATAGTTGACACACTCTTTAGAACATTTTGGTTGTTGAGTGTGAGTGCCCCAAAAGAGAAAGCACTAGGTGTGGTTGACTGGCTGAAAACTGAGGAGTTGAGATCAGTGAGAAAAATGCTATTACACACATAATCATTTAGGTATGTTGGTCTTTGGTAATCCTTTCAGATTTCCTGATTGGAGGTGGTGGAATAGGAAAACTGTGAATGGGAGATGAAATAGGAGTGTGAGGTTGATACCATGATGTACTACTAGGTGAATTGCCCAAGCCAAAGTTTGGTAGTGGGGAAGAGGGTTCAGGAAGACTAATGTCTTGATCTTCCCCAAATGTCCTGCTAGGTATAGGAACAGTAGGAAAGGTATTTGATTGTGCTTCTGGTGCAGAACTGATATTGGAAAGTGGTTGATCTGGACATGGAGTATCAGAAGAAGGGATAGGAGGGGAAAACAAAGGCTGAGGTGTGGTGTTGGATAAACTGAAAGGAAAATGTTCCTCATGGAACTTCACATCTCTGGAAACAAACACCTTTCCTGTTTCAATTTCCAGAACCTTATATCCCTTTTGTCCTTGTGCATATCCTAAGAACACACATCTCTTAGCTCTTGGGTCAAATTTACTCCTGTCATGAGTCAAAGTAGATGTAAAGCATAGACATCCAAAACTTTTAAGTGAGTCATAGTTAGGTAGTCTTCCAAAAAGAACCTCATAGGGTGTCTTCCCTTTCAAAACCTTAGAAGGTATCCTGTTGATGAAATGAGTGGTTGTGAGCACACATTCTCCCCAATATTGTATGGGGACCTTAGAATGAAAGAACAGTGCTCTTGCCACTTCCAAAAGATGCCTATGTTTTCTCTCAACTACCCCATTCTGTTGGGGTGTTCCCACACAAGATGTCTCATGCAATATGCCCTGTGATTGAAGGACAGCAGCTTCCTGTGACCCTTTCCCTAGTTCTTTGGCATTATCAGACCTTATCCTCTTCACTTTTATGTTGAATTGCCTTTCCACCATAGCAATAAAGGATTTTAAAATTGGAAAAACATTGCTCTTGCAACTCAACAAAAATGTCCATGTGGCTCTACTAAAATCATCTACAATAGTTAGGAAGTATTTAAACCCATTGTATGTTTCAGTCCTAAATGCACCCCAAGTATCAATGTGAATTAAATCAAAAATCCCTTGGGTTTTAATATGACTTAGAGGAAAAGGGAGCCTTGTTTGTTTAGCTTGAGGACAAATGTTACACACATAATCAAAATTTGAAGGGAAATCAATGAAACTAAGATGCTTCATTACTGAAAAGGGAAGATGACCCAGTCTGACATGCCATTGGCTTACATTAGTGACAACATTAGCTACTAAAGGTGCTTGAAAAGAAACTGAACTAGAAACATTGTTGGAATTTCTTCCTTTTGGAATTGAAACTACATTTTGATAAGGCAAAATGCCAGAAACTACACTAGTGGGCCTGAATAAGTATAATCCATCTCTTACTTCACCAAAAAATTGTCCCCTCCTCATTAAAGGGACCTGCATTAGACAACCATCTGAAGTTAGATTTAAAGAACATTTGAACTGAAAACATAACTTATGAACAGATAATAAGTTATATCTGAATGAAGGCACATGGAGCACTCTTTTAAGGATCATATTTGGCTGAATGGAAACACTTCCTATGTGTGTAACAAATAACTGGAAAGAGTTAGGAAGACTAATATGTAGAGGAACAGGAAGAGGAGTCAAATCTATGAATGAACTTGAGTCAAAACACATATGTTCTGAAGCTCCTGAATCAATAATCCAAGTCTTAGTATTAAAAGCTGAAAGACAAGTCCCAGTGTATTTAAGAATTGTACCAGCCACTGCATTGGCATTGATTTCTGAACTTGTGTATGCTGAGTTTCCAATCTGCACCTGCTTGATTAAATTCACTAGCTCAGAAACCTGTTCCTTACTGAACATTTGTGGCTGGTTGTTGATGTTTCCCTCATTGTTAGCAGCTGTCACATTTTCCTCCTATCCTGTCACCACTGCATTTCCTTTTACTCCTCCATGGTAATTGCTTGTTTGTTTGGTAAATTGAAAATCTTCTGGGAAACCTATTAATCTGTAGCAGTCTGCTTTCACATGCCCTACTCTCATGCAGTGAGAGCATGTGACATTAGGATTATATTTGGACTTCTTTCCTCTGAACTTCTGTGGGCTGTTTCCAAATTTCTGATTTCCAGTGCAGGGTTTCTGAACTTGATTGTTGCTTCTTTGTTGGACTTGGTTTGAGTTCCTGCAATGAATGAAGTTCCATCAGAGGGATATTGGGGACTCATGTACACCTCCCTTTGACTCTCATCTTGAAGTAACAAAGAGTAGGCATGATCCAGGCTGGGTAGTGGACTTATCATGAGAATGTTTCCTCTTGCTTGGCCATAGACATCATTCAGTCCCATGAGGAACTGAATAACTCTTTGGTCTTCCATAAACTTAGCTACCTTCTTCTTTCCATCACACACACAGTCACAGATGCATCCTAGGTGTGTGCTTAAGGAGTCCAACTCATCCCACAATCTCTTGAGAGTAGTAAAATAGCATGCTATGCTACTATTTCCTTGAACTGACTTGGATATGTCTTTCTGCAGGTGATACAGCTTGGCCCCATTGGATTGGCCAAACCTGTGCTCCAGACTATTCCAAAGTTCCATTGCTGATTTTGAGTAGATGACACTGTCTCCTATTTCTTTAGACAGTGAGTTCAGCAACCAAGAGGTCACCATATCATTGCACCTACTCCATTGAGGTAGGTCATTAGATCCCAGATCTGGTTTCACAAGAATTCCATTGATAAAACCAAGCTTGTTCTTGACAGAAAGGGCAATTAGGATTGATCTCTTCCAACCCGGGAAATCTCTCCCATCAAATGGTGAGCTGACAAGAGACATCCCAGGCGCATCAGAGGAGTGAAGAAAATATGGGTGATTACAGTCCTGATTGACTGTAGTGGATGAAGAACCTGGAGTTTGTGCAACTGGAGTTGTAATAGCTGGAGTTTCATTTGTTACTGCCATAGCTAAACTTTAGATTTTAAGAGATCTTGAAGAGAGAATGAAGGATCGAGCTATTAGAGCTCTGCTACCATGAAAATTTAGGCAGAAAAGATGATGAATTTTCTCTGTATATGTATATCATTCCAAACTTCCTATATATACAAATGAATGTGCTGAAAATTGAAAGAAACAAAAGAATATTCCCTATACACTTGTCATATTTCTATTGCCTAGTCTATAATAAAATAACTAACTTTATTCCTTTACAATGTATTGTCATGTGCAAATCCCACGTGTGTGTAACTCTTCAGCCATCTCATATTGAGCATAGTATGCCATATCAATGGCTAGGATTTAATCAAGCTCAAGGGCTCAGATGCTGCCACGTATTCAATCACTTGAGAGACCAATTCACTTCTTTACCTAGAAAATTTCGAAAACTTCTCAACCTTGTCTGAAAATTAGGTCTATATCTCTTCCTTCTCTTTCCCTTTCTTTCTCTCATCGATTGAGAGCTGAAGATTACTGCTTTCTTCCTTCTTCTCTACATCTTCACCCGGTTAAGTTAAACTGACAATATCAATATTTTTACACTTTCAGTGTTTCTAGTTTAAATCCAATACGTATATATTAGTCTAAGGGAGTTGGAGAAACCAGATGGTAATCGTGCTTGACCAACAAAAACAGTTCTTTTAAAATAATATAATTAACACGAAATTCAAGCAGGGTCAAGTAGTGTGTTGATCTGGTCATAAGGTACGGAGGCATCAACCATAGTGCGTAGAGCTCTAAATTAAACCGTGATTCGCTCGTGAAAAGTATTGTTATTGTTACCTGATTATTAAAATAATTAAAGGTGGGGGGAAAATAGGAGAAAATTGGGGATAGTCAACGTATTCATGGAATCGTCCCATATTACTCGCATGCCATTGACATTTTTAATTTTGACTCTGGTATGTGGAGCAGTTAATAAATGTATCTTTAAAATTAAAAGTGTTATATGAGCAATAGACTTTTCTCCCACAAACAGTAGATGCGAGGAACCTTCATTTGATAGTTTGAAGAGAAGTGGAAAAGGATTGAAATAATCTTCTTTTACAACACACTTTTTCTTACAATTTTGCATGTGAAAGTGTGGGATAATTTCACATAAATACAACTCACACACCTGACTTGCAATATAATAGCCTAGATTAAATCTATAGTCCAAAAATAATAGGCTATAATTCCCGAAAGACAGCTTATTTCACACAATTAACTATGGTTATTGCTCCCTCTTTATACAACTAGTCGTTTTCATTCTCTTGATTTCCTTTGATTATTAAGCATTTGATAAAAAAATGCAAATCAGCCACAACGCAACTCAAAAATCCTGAATAATACATATTATCTGAAGGTGAGAAATTCAAACACTTTTATGTGCAATTGCTGAAGCAATCCAACAGGATAAAAGAAAAATAAAAACTTGGTAAATGAATTGTAGAATCTCTCCAACGCGTACAAAATCTTTTTCATACACCACATACACGAAAAAGAAGAAGAGAAGGAAGTGTCAAACTTCCGTAGAGGCCTCTTACACACTGACAATGTATATACATCCTTATAAACTGAAAAAATATATAATTATACAATATTATACACAAATATGCACATTTATACACAATTATACAATACTGTATAAGTGTATATAAACACCATTTATACAATATTTCCACTAGAAAATATAGAATGCCCAACACTACACTTACTGTAAATAATATATTAACTTGTATAAACATGTATAATAGTGTATAAGAGGTGTTTGTATATCCATATACACAATTATACACTATTATACAGTGTTGATACAAACTGTTACATAGTTATGATTTTTTATCCAAGCTCGAGTTTTAGTAGAAGGTATTGGATGATTCAACTCGTCAATAGGTTAACAATTTTGCACCAACGATTTAGAATTCAACACACAGATAAGATACACCCAATTTCAGATTCGAGACTTCAAGGTCATAATAATAATAACCAGAACTTCAAACTTCAAAATCTTCCAAAATTAGTGGTTATTTTTTTTTTGTGCAAATCAAGTTTGAGAGCTATTTATTTTCAGATCTGTGTGTATTTTTATTTTTCTTTCAAAAATCTTCAATATTCTTCTGCTTTCCACCATGGACGATGGAGGAGCCCGAGCCTTCTTCGAGCCATTGATGGCATAACTGCGTAGGGGGAACGGAGGGGGAATAGCGGGGGCTTGGTTAAGAGTCAAGGATGATGGATCTATGTGGGTTAGAAAGAAAGAAGCGAGAGGCGGTGAGAGAGAATTTGTTATGCTGGGAATGAAGAAAGAAGAAAATAATAAAAATCCTAAAAGTATGTCTTTAATAATGGGCTAAAGGCTGAAAAGTTTCTTTCAAGTTATGTACAACATGGACTAAATAGGATAAGAGCTTCAAATCTGGGCCATTTTCGGTTGGGCTGTTAGGCTAAGTGACAAGGCCGTAATTCTTTCTCTGATAAATTACCCAATTCACAATTTTCTCATGGTATTCTTCCCTTAAAATCTTCTCCAGTTGAAGGTTTTCTGGCCAAACGCATATACTGCAAGGTACAATATATAAACGATTTAGTTAATGAGATCGAACAAAACCCACAGCTACCAAAAAAAAAAAAAAAAGAAGAAGAAGAAGAAGAAAATTCTTCCATTGCAGCATGAAAATATTGTTACTTACCAATATCAGATATTTACACTGAACCAATAAATACATTACATATGTATTCATAAAATCAGTTATCACTAAATTATAATTTACTAATATATATTTTCATCTTATTTTATCACTTAACCATGATAAATTAGTATATGCTGGCGTAAACAACCGATCTAAGATTATTTGTACCCTTCTCTCAAATTGGTTATGCAGTTTGTACAAGCACTATTTAAACAACTTAAAATAACTCCTTCAGAGGAACTCTAATTTATCTCAAGACTATTTGCCATCAAACTGCAATTTAACTATAATCGTAGAACTTTAACTAATTAAGGTGTCAAAGTTTAATATCGATTCGTCAAATTGACGTGACAATTGATATAATTAGGCCAATGACTAAAAATATACCTTGTATGAGTAGAAAGGAGAAATACAAACTAAAACGTGCTGAATTAATTTGCCAAATTGAGTAACACGTATTATTGAGTCCACGGAGACACCGAAGAACTCAGTCACGCGTAATCATTGATTATTTTGCAGTTTAGTAGTCCTCCTCGTTTCAAACTTTGAAATAGTACTATTTTTACTGCAAGAAAATAAATAAAAGAACAGGATAATTACATTTGACAAATATAAAAGGCCAAAAATGGTAGTCTAGATGTTTTCCAAACGCTTCACATGAATCCACATTATCTCTTCTTCATGTTTTAAACACGGAAAGTACTAGGATATGGACCTTGTTAAAAAGTTGCAAATATTTCTGGAAAGGCTTTTTACAATATTTAGAGTTTTAGATTTATGAGACAAACTAATTTTCTATGGGGGCTTTCCCACCAAAAAAAGTTGTGATAAAATTATTGATAAAGATTACCGTGATCTATGCACATGAAGGAAAGAAACAAATAAAGAGATGGTCTACAATTAAATTAAAGATAATAGTTCACTTTCATTTTCATTGTTACTATATAGCAATCAGTTACTTCGAAAAATAAGATATTCTAAAGGGATCAAAAACTTTTCTAATTTGGTAAAGATGGTAACATAATAGTACAAAATTAATCAAACGCAATCATACGTCAAAAAAAGGCTAAGTAGGAAGTGTAGAAGAATAAAGGTTGATTATCAACAGAAATTTTGTCATCCATGAATTACTTAAGCAGAACAGATGATATCCATGTCATGTAATAGGTGTAAATCGGATTTACACTATTCATTTTCCTACATTCTCACACTCGAGATTTGAATATATGACCTAAATAATTTTAAACAGCTAATAAACCCCTCCTTCAAGCCAGCTCCGCCGCTGCAGTGTTGTGAAAGTAGTAGTACTACTACAAAAAATGATGTGCCAGTGTCGAAGGAGCGGAGTCACCTTTAAGTAAGGGATGATAATTGACACTGCTACGTTGGAAAATTACACAATATAATTATATAATTTTTTAAATGTATATATGTTATATGTTTAATTCTCTGAACTTTTTCATGTACTACGTTTTTAAAATTTTAATATTCTTGGGTGAAAATTCTAGCTCGGTCACAACATGCCAAGACAAAAACATAAAAACCGTGGGGGTGGAGCGGGTAAGGAGGAGGGAGACAATGGTAGTCACGCGGCAATTCATAAAAGGGAAGCATATTGAGTAATAATATCTTGGTGAAATATAGAAAGTACGAAAATTAATAATCATTAAAAATCAAATAAAGAATGGGCCTTGCGAATACGTAGAGAGGCATGAAGAGTGTGTGAGTAGCACGCTCCCAAGTCCCAATCATAAAAGGGTAGCAGTTTTGGTAGCATTTGTTGTCAACAATTTAACCTAATGCCTACCTTCTTATCCTAATTCTCTCTTCATTTTGGCATGGCAATAAATTGGCATCTTTTTGCCTCCCATTCCCCATTTTCACTTCGTCATAACACGCCTTTCATTCCTAACCATTCACAGTCACTTGTCTGTCTTAATCAATTTTAGCTTATACATTATCTGCAAAAACAGAGAGTATTTGTTACTCCTCTGCCTCAATTTCTGGGCTTGCGTTGGATTGAACACGAAATATAAGAATTTTAAGATTTATGGTTTAAAACAAGATACAAATATTTATGGATGTAGATTATCTCACTAAGGCTGAAATGAGAATTTTAAAATTAAATTATTTCTAAATATATATATTTTTTAAACAGACTAAAAATGAAAGTAAAACATATATTAGGACGAAGAAAGTAGTACAGTTAGACCCCGGGGTTGATCCAGAGAATGAAGACCGTCTTCAACGGAACCCAATAACTTTTGTTCATACCTTGCATATAGGGGTGTTCATGAT